TGGGATGCCAAGGTAAGAGGACTGCCTGAGCCCGCGGGTTTGAGACCAGCCCAGGCAACTTGGTGAGACCTTGTCTCTACAATAAATCCCAAATTAGCCAGGTGTGGTAGTGTGCGCCTGTAGTTCTGGCTACTTGGAAGGACTGCCTGAGGTCGAGGCTGCTGTGGCCATGAGCATGCCACCGCACTCCAGCCTGGGAGACAGAGACTCCAACCAAAAATAAATAAATAAATAAAGTTCCAGACAGAGAATCTCATGAACTTTTCGGTGTCTTCTCATACTCTTTTTTCCCCCTTTCGGGAAAATATCTGGTCACATCTTTAAGATTCAGCACAAGCTCAAATGAACACCGCACCTATACGTCTATCAAAGTTCTCAAAGCCTCTCAGACATTCCTCTTTTAAGACATCTACTACAATTTCTTTATAGGTCTTCCTTCCCCTCTAGACAAATTACTACCAGCATCAAGCAGTGATGGTCCGTAAAAGGGTTTCCACATAAATGAATCAATCTGAAAAACTGGCTTTTCTTCTAGTACTACAGCTGAAATGACCCAATAAGGAGAATTATAGATGCCTTAGCAGGGGAAATACATTTGGTGAAACTGGTGAATTAATGTTCACCGAATACAAATGTAAAAGTCTTGGAGATATGAAGCCATATGCACAACAAATGCTTTCATGGTTGGCTAGGGTGAGTTAGGACCCCACAATCGATACAATTCTCTTTTCGGCACTGTAGAATTTAAAAATATGCTTTGGACAACTTTGGCTTGCTCAGAAATATTTTGTGTTTGTTTCATATGCTACTCAACAATCTTACTGGGAGCTCTTTTGTGGTTTTTCCCAAGTGCATTACTCAGACCTTTAGCCTTTTGCAATTATATCCCCGCCACCCAGAATGTCCTACAACCTGCTCAGTTCTACTGCACACACCTTCCCCATTGACTTTAACTTATCCTCCAAAACTCAGCCTTTTCTGGAAACCATCCTAATTCTCTATGAGGTGCCATTTCCATCTTCCTAAAAGCACTATAAAATATTTTAAATTCAAATATACTGGCTGGACACGGTGGCTCAAGCCTGTAATCCCAGCACTTTGGAGGCCAAAGTGAGAAGACTGCCTGAGTCCAGGGGGTCGAGACCAGCCTAGCAACTTGGTGAGACCTCATCTCTACAATAAATAAAAAAATTAGCCGGGTATGGTGGCATGCATCTGTAGTTCTGCTACTTGGAAGGCTAAGGCAGAAGAATCGCCTCAGAACAGAAGTTGGGGCTGCGGTGGCGGTGAGTGTGCCACTGCACTCAAACCTGGGTGACAGAATGAGACTCCAACTCAAAAAAAAAATTCAAATATAAATTTTTAGGTTACTTGTGAGAGTATATAGCATTACAGATTAAGAATTTACTGGCTGGGTGCAGTGGCTCACACCTATAATCCCAGCAATTTGGGAGGCTGAGGTGAGAGAATTGCCTGAGCCCACGGGTTCGAGACCAGCCTGGGCAACTTGGCGAGACCTCATCTCACCAAAAAATTAGCCAGGCGTGGTGGCGCATGCCTGTAGTTCCAGCTACTTGGAAGGCTGGAAGGCTGAGGCACAAGGATCACCTGAGCCCAGCAGGTCGAGGCCACTGCACTCCAGCCTGGGTGACAGAGCGAGACTCCAACTCAAAAAAAAAAAAAAAAAGAATTTACAATTCACTTAGAAGATTACTTACCATGCGCCACAAATACAAAATATGCACCTCTCAACATATTCTGTTTATTGCTCCCACTAGGCCATAAACATATGTCTTATGTCTTCCTATCTCTGAGCATGTTCAATGCTTGGCCCAATGTGGCTGCTCAACGTCAATCTACTAAGTAAACGGAATTAACTTTGGGCATTAGAGTAATAATCCTTCAAGTTCTTCTGATATAATTATTATCTTTACAGTCATAATTTTTTAAGAGCCAGAATAAAATACTGATTTAAATCCAAAAAGTATCTTGTGCTGGATTCCAGCAGAGACAAGCAATAGGTTTCAGAAAAACTGGAGAGTCCTTCTTCAGATTTGGGAAGAGCCTAAGAACACTCAATTTGACAGGCACACCACCTCTACCTATTTCACAGAAAAAGGGTGTTACACAGGACATTGAGAACCCCTGAATTAGCAGTTTTTCCTGCCTCCAGCCACATTCTGACTAAATACAATAAATCGAAGTCTGAGCTGCCTTCAAGGCTCTACACAGTCACCTCAAGTTCAAGTATGTCAAAGCTAGTTCCTCTTCCAACTTCTTAATTCTGTTTTCGGAATGTCACAATAAAATTGTACCATTGAACTCCACTGGGCCAAGTTCTGCAAAGGTCTTCCTTTACATTTCTCCAGTCCCCACTACAGCACTGGTCTTCGTATTTCTACATGGACTAGCCTAGCAGTCTAACTAGCCTCTCTGTTTTTAGGTTTTCCTGTTTAATTCATCAGGCACCTGCTACCCAATCCATTTCCCTCCAAGGTCAATGGTTCAAAATGCTGGATGATCTTGTCATTCCTCTCCCCAGTCCCTAATCATTTGGCAACATCTGGAGACATTTTTGATTGTCACAACTGTAAAAATGCTACTGGAATCTAGTGAGTGAAGGCCAGGAATGCAGCTGAACATTCTACAATGCATAGGATACACACACAGAACAAAGAATTATCTGGCCACAGATCACCATGTCATCTTGGGCCAGTTGTTGAAACTTCTTGAGAATCAGTTTCCTCAACTGTACAATGTGGTCAAAGTACCTTAAAGGGCCATCAGAAAGATTAAGTGAGCCACTGTATGCAGAACACTGAGCAGTGTCTACAGACTGGGTACATTCACACCTTTTTTTTAAAGAAATTGCTTTGTCTTTTCTCTCAAACAGAATTATTCTTGCACTAAAAAGGCTAGATAGAATGGACGCTGATAATGGGAACAGAGACCCTGAGAAGCACATTTCAAATGAACATCAGAGGTGTTCTTCGCGGCCTGGATAAGCTGCATGTCAATAATTTAAGCAAGCAAAGTTGTTGATCCATGGTTAGATGAAGTGCTATTAGCCTGAAAAGAGGTTAATGCCATTACTGAAAAATGGAGCAAGTAGATTGGGAAACTGTAGGCTGATGAACCTTATAAAAGAAAAGGTCTACGTTAAGATGTGTATACAAGGACGCAGCATCAAAGAATCATGGCACACTAACCTTTTTCCACAAAACTTTTAAACTTGGGAGCACTGTTGATAGCTGGAATGTTGTGTGAAATGTGACAGGACCTCTCATGACAGACTTGTGGAAACATAGCTTGGGTACTATGACAATTAAGCAGAATTGTAATCACTGGACTAACTGCACGAAAGGTGGTGCCTCACCTAATGCCACCACATGGACAGCGGCTCTTGTTTCTACACCCTCCTTCCTGCTGCAACTGAGGAACTGTCCTGAACTGTCCGAGCTGACCCTTCAGTGTGGACCCAGCCTTCTTCCTTCTCAAGGACCTGAGGCGTCTCTAGCAGATCATGGCCACCCAATTTCACACCTACCTTACCGACTCCTACCCTACTGCCCCCTTGCCCGGACAGTTTCTACCCATTTCTTTGCACCTCCCCCTATCTTCAGTCAACCTTCTTGAAGGAGTTGTCCTAACAGTTCCCACCTCCTCATCTCTCAACTGGCTACTGTTTCCATTACTCCAGGAACCCAACACCACTTACTCCAAATCCAATGTCACTTCTCTGCCCTCATGTTACTGTTAGGTCCTCAACTTGCATTCAAGAAGCCAACACAGATCAAACAACAACAGTACAGGAAAAAGAATGACACAGCGGCAGCAGAAACTTAAAAAAAAAATTAATTACAGTTAAGTTCGGAGTGAGTCAACTGGTTGTGTGATGCACAGTGCAAATGTGATCTTAGAAGGCAAAACACACTATCTTCACCTTCTGCATACTGGGTGTATCCTACCTGGAGCTCGGTCTTGGAGATATTTTGCAAAATAAGACTTTTAAAAAATAAGACCTTCAAGCTATTATTACTGCCTATAGATGCAACCTGCTGCCTTGGGGGATAGTGTGTAGGATGGGTCGCTAGTAAATATCAAGGTCTCTTCTTGAATGCTTTTAAAATTTCATTCTAGGTGGGGCAGGGTGGTTCACGCCTGTCATCCCAGCACTTTGGGAGGTGGAGATGAGAGGACTGCCCGGGGTCGGGGGGGTTCGAGACTAGCCTGAACAACAAGGTGAGACCCCCTCTCCACAATAAATAAAAAAACTAGCCGGGTGCGGTGGCGCACCCCTCTCGTGCCAGCTACTTGGAAGGCTGAGGCATGAGGATCGCCTGAGCCCGGCAGGTGGAGGCGGCGGTGGCCGTGAGCGTGCCACCGCACTCCAGCTCGGGCGACAGAGTGGGACTCCGACTCAAAACAATAACAGCAATACAACTTCGTCTTAAGACTCCACGGATCGGACTGACCTGTGTTATAACTCCACACTAGCCAGGGAGAAAAACACACCGACGCGACGCCGGGCTAAATCCAGATTTTCTGACTCGCAGTTTAAAATTTTCCGACACGCTCCGCCACAGTACAGAAACCAGAGGGCCGCCAAACCATCCCTTGCCGTGGCCGCGACAACCCGATCCTGGGGGTGCGCTGGGAAAGCGCTTCGATTCCGGTTCGCCCACCCAACTTTGGGAAACGGCGAGCGAAAAGGGACCCTCGACCCGTCGCCACGAGACTTCCCACCTGTTAGAGCCACAGTCCCCTCCCGGCGCCTTTTAACGGCTTTAGGGCTCCCCAAGGCCTCCCCTCGGGGGGCGCCTCTCCTCTGCTCCACGGCCGGGGGCGAAGATCGAGTCCGGCCGGCAGACCGGCCCCCCCCGCACCCGGCAAAGCCAGCGGGCCCCGCGCGTCCTGGCAGCGGGAGGCCCCCGGGGCCCCGCCCGGCGCGCCCTGGGCGGCGGCGCGCAGGCCCTCCGCGCGCGCGCACCCCCGCTCACCCTCGTGGGACATGG